TTGGTCTGGAAGCCTCTCCTCCTTGGAGGAGTCGACCGTCCAGATGCCCCTTAGGGCTTGGCAAATTTTTAAGAATCTGGTGGATTTGTTGCTTTGTTTTGTAGGATGTAGACTCCTATTTAACTTGACTGCCCCCATGCCTGTTGTAAAATCTTGATTTTGCAGGAGGCATGTCTTCTCAGGGTTCAATTTTTTCGCATTCGACCAATTTCATAGCGAATGAATCATATATTATTGAAAGGCTAATCTTAACTACAACGCATAAGGAATACATTTATTGATAATACAATCTTAGATGTTCCGCATTCCATGGATGTTGAACCTTCCTTCCATCCAGACTTTCCAATATGTAGGTTCCTAGGCTTATCAGCTCGCGGATGCGGTTGGGTCCTTCCCATGTTGGGCCTAGGGGACCAGTGTTTTTTGGCTTCGTACTTTGTGTCACCCTTTTTAGTACCAGGTCTCCTGGGACGAACCTCATTTGCTTGATCTTTTTGTTATAGTATCGAGTAGTTCTTTGTTGGTAAGCGGCGAGCCGTAGTTGAGACTTGAGCATTTTTTCTTCCAAGAGGTCGAGCTCTCCATCCATTGCTTCCGTATTAGCATCATCGTTATGTGCGATAGTTCTTAATGTTGGCGTTGTGATTTCGATGGGGAGTACCGCATCTGCGCCATATGTCATGGAAAAGGGTGTTTCACCCGTGGTAGTCCGACTTGTCATCCTGTGTGCCCACAAGACCTTTGGGAGTTCTTCAGCCCATTTTCCCTTTAAATCATCCAGCCTCTTCTTTAGGGTGTATTTTAAAATTTTGTTGACAGCCTCAACTTGGCCATTGGACTGTGGATGAATTGGTGCTGAGAAGTCCTTCTGAATGCCCAAATCATTGCAAACTTGCGCGTTGAGACGTTGTTGAACTACTTTCCGTTGTCAGATATGATCAAATCTGGGACTCCAAACCTTCATATAATGCTTTTCCATATGAAGCTAGTGCAAGTTGCCTCCGTGGTCGTAGTAAGAGCTTTCGCCTCCACCCATTTAGTGTAGTAGTCTACTGCGATGATTGCAAACTTAAAGCCCCCTGGCGCGAGGTGCAAGGGTCCAATCAGGTCGATCCCTCATTTGGCAAAAGGCTATGGGCTGAGAATGGAGGTTAGGTTCTCTGGGGGTGCTCTAGGAATTGTGACATATTTTTGACACTTATCGCAACGCCGAGCGTATTGAAACGCGTCTTTTTTAAGCGTAGGCCAATAGTACTCCTGCCTCAAAACCTTAAGAGCTAGATATTGCCCCCCAGTGTGATTACCACACACTCATTCATGGATCTCCCAGAGGACTTCTCGTGTCTCAGCGCCATTCAGGCACCGCTGTAAAGGCGTTGAGTAGCCTCGTCGGTATAGTATACCATCATACAATAAGTATCAGGCTGCTCTGTATTTGACCCGCTTGGCCTCCTCCTTGTTGTCGGGTAGCTTTGCGTCTGCCAAGTATTGGATGAGGGGTGTCATTCGGCCCTCGTCTGGCTGAATGGTTAAGGCCTCATCCTTCTCATCAATAGTCGGCTGCTCAAGCTCTTCGATGAGGATGACTCCCAGTACATCAGAATCCTTCGAGGAAGCCAATTTAGCCAAAGCATCGCGTTCGTATTCTCAGCTCTTGGTACCTGTAGTATCTCAGAGCTTTTGAATTTGATGAGTTCTGTTTTTACCCTTCTCAAGTACGCCCACATTCTTTCACCGCGCGCCTGGTACTCTTCTTTTACTTGCCCGACGACTAGTTGAGAGTCACTGAAGGTGCTGATCCTTTGAATCTTCAAGTGACTTACCAATCGCAACCCTGTGATCAATGCTTCATACTCAGCCTCATTAATCCATGCTTTGAATTTGAATTGTACTGCTGAGGTGATCTTGTGGCCTTCTGGACTGATAAGCATGATGTCGGTGCCTAACCCGGCTTCACTCGACGCCCTGTCCACGTAGAGTTTACACTCAGTTGCTTTAGCTTCTTCGTTTGTGGCTGGCGTTGGCCTGTGAGAAAATTCTGCAAGGAAATCAGCCAACGCATGTCCCTTGATGGCTGCTATATTCGATGTGAAACTGGCTTAACTCTACCGACCATTTGAGGAGTCGACCAGAGGTTTTGGGTTTTTGTAATGCTTGCCTTAACGGGTGATTTGTGATGACCTGTATTGTATGGGCCTGAAAGTAATGTCAAAGCTTCCTCAAAGCTATGATCAGGGCGAGAGCTAGCTGTTCCATTTCAGAATATCTAGACTCGGCATCCAAAAGTTTCTTGCTTACGTAGTAGACTAATAGCTAGACCCTTTCTTCATTCCTGATAAGCACAGAACTCACAACATGCTCAGATACGGAAAGATATAGGCTCAGTGTTGCCTAAAATTGTGAATCTAGAATCTCGCAAGTGCACGAGTCAACAAGTATTAAAATGATGAATAATCAAGTATCGTCCCACAGGGACTGTGTGTTTTTGAAATCAAATTGTTAAGTTAATTCTCTCTAAGTTTTTAAACAAAGATTAAAAGTGATTTTTAAGGTGTTAAAACTAATGATAATTTGACTATAGAAATGAACAACAAAAACAAAACTAATTAATAAAGAGTTTGCTAATAAAATTGGCCAATGTCACTATTCGCGGCTTAAAATTATTAAACTGTCTTTTATCACGCTGCGCGTTGCTGCAGCAATGGACAGCAATGAAAACTTCTAGTTAACCGGATTCTACTAAACCAGGGACTTTCCAATTTGCCGTCTACTAATCTTAAAGCTAAATCTCACAAATCCCTCTGCAAATCTAGACTCTAAAATCAGAGAATGAAGCTCTAAATCGTATGGTTATGCAAGACATAATATATTCCTATATCATGTGGATCAAAAATCTGTAACAAGATCTAAGAACTTGCATTACTCAAGTTATTTCCACTCAACTAAATCTTCCCAAATCTAATCAAACTGTACTCCCCTCTTATGATTTCCCAGTCACAGTTAAGGCACAAATTCAGCTCACTTGAATAAACAAAGAAATAATCATCAAATCCATTCAACATTAACTAGCAACTTAATATTTAACAAATCAACAACCTCAGCCAACAAATCATAATCTCATAGAAATATATTTATGAATTCAAGTTCAGATTCAAGAAGAAGAGTAAATATTCTTTAACAAGAAAAACAAAGTAATGAGAATAAGAAAGACTAAAATGATGATGAGAGAATCCGAATCCCCCTTTTCCAAGGTTTCCTCTAGCTGCTCTTGCATCAACAGATGGTCCTTCACGTTTAAATCTCTGTGACGTTTTCTTCTTCTTCCTCCTCAGTACTGGAAATGGTACTTGATCAGAAAAATGGAGGTGGTTTCCTTTTCCAAGTTCAGCCACCTCTGCGTTCAAAAATATGACCAATGACACCTTCTTCTCTTGCAGCTGCAGGTACTTATTGTACCCTAATTACACGTGGCATCCCCTGAGGAAGCCTCCAAGCAGCAGCTAAATCAGCACCCTTCACGGTAAAATCAGCCCATTCTTCCAGCTCAGGTACAGCTGTCAGCAACATGCACGTCTTGCCCAACTCGCCTTGCTGCAGCAATGCACAGCAATGCTGACTAGGATTTCCTTGAAAATTCCAAAACGACAAGTTGTTGCTAGCCTCCAAGATGACAATGCTTTCTCAAAGCTGAAAATAATCACAACATACACCCGGATTAGCTCTTTTTAAGCGCCAAACACAAGAGAGAGAATTCATGAAACATAACTAACTAAAAACTACAAACAAGACAAAATAAAGGATAAAACTAAAACTAATTACCCTCTAGGTAATAATTTAAGCCTGGAAAATGCTCAATTAACTCTATTTTCATAGAGTTATCACTCAGCTTCTCGCCCGTGATGGGTTTTGACAGAATTGGGGGCATGCCTAAGTGCTCTTTTAATTTCTAAAAAGCCTCATCGCATCGTAGAGTCCATTCAAAGTGAATGCTTCCTTTCAAGTCGTCAAAGAAGGGAACACATTTATCCGTTGCCTTTGATATGAACCTGTTAAGGGCGGCGACACATCCTGTCAACCTTTGCACTTCCTTTGGTTTTGTAGGAGACTTCATATCCTGCAGGGCTTGTATCTTTTCTGGGTTAGCCTCTATTCCTCGGTTACTGACCATAAAACCAAGGAACTTTCCGGACCCAACCCCGAAGGCACATTTTAAGGGGTTTAGTTTCATGTGGTACCTGCTTTGCACATCAAACACTTCTTCCAAATGAGTAACGTGCTAAGTTACCCTAGCACTCTTTACCAGCATGTTGTCAATGTACACCTCCATCGATCTTCCGAGGCGAATATTTTGTTCACGAGCCTTTGGTATGTTGCCCCTGTATTTTTCAAACCGAATGGTATTACCTTGTAGCAGTAAAGGCCCCTGTCGGCAATGAACGACATGTGCTCTTCGTCGGATGGATGCATGGGGATCTGATTGTAGCCGGAGTAGGCATCCATGAAACTTAACATCTCATGGCTGGCTGTGGCGTCGACCATTTGGTCTATTCGGGGGAGTAGAAAACCATCTTTTGAGCATCCTTTGTTTAGGTCGCTGAAGTCGACGTATGTCTTCCACGTCCCGTTGGGTTTTATTACCAAAACGGGGTGTGAAACCCAGCTAGGATGTGGGCCTCCCGAATAAATCCATTGCTGATTAACTTGTTGACTTCTTCTTTTAGCGCTTCGTATATCTCGGGATTCATTGGTCGGCGCTTTTGTCGTTTGGGGGAATGTAAGGGGTCAACGTTTAATGTATGGCACATAACTTTGGCGTCGATCCCTTTCATGTCGGCGTGAGTCCAGGCGAATATGTCTAGGTTCCTTTTGAGGAAACCCTCGACTTCAATCCTAAGCGCCAGAGTTAAGTCTGAACCTATTTTCAACACTTTTGTAGGCTCATCTTCATCCACCCAGACTTCTATCAGCTGCTCGATTGGTTGAGACCAGGTGATTTCTTCTTAAACTCGGGGGTCTATGTCCTCCATGGCACCTTGATGGATCACTCTGGCTTCTTGCCTCCCTAGTTGATCGTAACCACGTAGGGCATCGGAGTAGGCGACTCGAGCTTCGTATTGATTGCTTTTCATTTCACCCACGTCATTCGGAGTTGAGAATTTAACCTTCTGGTGGTAAATAGAGGTTATTGCCCTTAACGCCTGAAGGGTTAGCCTTCCAATTACGGCGTTGTATTGTGAAACTCCCTTTATTACCACGAAGTTGGCCATTGTCGTGGCGTGCCTAGGCTTCTCCCCTGCGTTTATTGGTAGTCGGATAGTCCCCTGGGGGATGACAGAATCCCCAATGAACCCGTATAACGGTCGGGATGTCTTTTCTAATTGCTCTTTGGGGACCCCTATTTTTTCTAGGCAATCAGCGTATAGGAGGCCCACCGAGCTCCCGTTATCCACCAGGATTCTGCATACGGTGTGGTTCCCGATTATCGCTTCTACTACCAAGGCATCATTATGGGAGAAGTGGACCCCATTTACGTCTTCTTCGTTGAATGTCACATCAACACTGATGTACTTTGTTATTTTTGCTGTTGAGAGATTCCAAAATCTCTTCGGGTATACCCTTCTGGCCTCATAGGCATAATCCTTTTGGGACCTTCTCGAGTCTCCTCTGACATACGGACCATCGGGGACTGTTCTTATGATGCTAACGGGTTCTCGGTCCTCTGGCCGTCGATTCTCTTCTCGGCATCGACTGTCGTTCTGGCCTCCGTGACCGTCATTCATTGGCCTCCTCTTTGCCTTGAAATCCTGCAGCCTTCCTTCGCGGATCACCCACTTTATTTCATCCTTAAAGTCGGCACAGTCGTTGGTGTTATGGCCGATGTCACCGTGGAACCTGCAATATTTATTTTGGTTCCTTCGGCTTGGGTCCGACCTCATAGGTTCGGGTCGGCTTAACAAATTCCCTCGTCTGACTTGGTTGAACACCTCTTCGACCCCTATAGTAAGTTCATGGTAAAAGTCATACCTCTGAAAAGGTCGAGGCTTACGGCTTTCGTCTTGCCTCAGCTTCTTGGCATCTGGAGGGTTCGACATTGAGGCAGGTTGCTTGTCTCCGTTGCCTTGTCACTTTTTACCGTCTTGCTTTCCTACGGTCGACTCTTGCTCAGTTCCTTTATTTTTTGTTGGACCTGTGTTCAGGGTCGTTCGCGTCAGCTTTCTCGGCGTTGATGTATCCTTGCGCCCGTGCTAGGAATTCTTTGTAAGTCGACAGTGGCTTTCGGTTTAGGTCCTTTTTGAAGGGAATGATTTTCTTCATGCTAGACATTGCCCCCATCAGTGCCTCCCGGTCAGTCATATCCGTTGTGGCAGCGACAACTTCTCCGTACCTTGCAAGCTATTCTTTTAATGACTCGTTCGGAATAGTTACTCCACTATAAACTTGGAATTGCACTCTCAAAATTATAGATATAAATTACTTCTAAACTGTGAAGTGTCCATTTGATATAGTCATTGCATATAGATCAATCCTTCATAAATAATTCATAATTAGAGCAAGGTAAAATCCGTTAACCTCTCTAATTACTTCTTTATCTTTGAGTACCATTAATTCTCTAATGGACAGTGATTCATAAAACACATTCATGAATCAGAGCTCCTACTGGTCCAAGTACCGAATTAACCCTCAAGAGAATTATTTATCTTCTTCTTTCTTAAGAAGGAATGGATTCCATCTCGTGTAGTAACATTCCCGGCTACCTACTTCATCATGTCTCCAAAATACAAGGAATAGGATTTAAGATCTCAGAATCCGTACCGAGTAAATCAAAAGACACAAATTTATAAATAGGAGTCTGTTAAGAACTCAGGATTAAGATCATTCTATATATAACCATCGGTAGACTTAATTGGAATTTCTATACTTAACAGAAATTATTATAAATTCATATTGTGTTGTGTCCTTGTTCCACATAATCTCATTATGCGAAATACACTCATTTAATATCTCACCATATTAACAGTGCGAATAACACCGTTCCATTCTAAATGGGAATGACATAAAAATTTACCAAACCAAAATATCAAGAATGAAATGATCATTACAATGTAGAACACAACCTCACTTGAGAGTATTTATCGCGAGTGCACAATTTTTTAGCCCTTGATTTATGTCGATCCTACACTATAATCCCTGTGAATAAATGGTCTATATTGTACACTCGCGATCCATTGCATTAACAAGTGCATGTCATTAGAACTCAAGGATGATTATTTTATTTTTTGGTGGAGGGCTAAGCTTAGAGATATTTTCTTTTCATATCTAGGGTACTGAAATTTATTTTAACATTTTGTCTCGGATAGGTTATCAACCAATTAGATATATGAAAAATAGAGATGACACCAAATTTTCTCTTTAAATTTGATTTATTTCTGTATTGATAAATTCCACAATGTACCATATGACAAGCAAGTGTGATATTGTAATTAATTTGGGTCCAATTTAGTATTGTTGTGAGTTGAAAATACGGTGATCAGAAATAAATAAGTGTTTAACTTTTTTCAAAACTGTTGTGAATATCAAAAGTAGAATTTTAAGTGTTTACAAATTGTGTATAAATTTTTTTCAAATAAATAAACTAACACTGCCACAATTGATTTTTGGTTTGGAGTCCATAGGCTAACTTTCTTTTCCTCAGGTACTCATTTCTCATAGGCAAACTTGCAAAAACTAACACTACCATAAATGTGTGTGCACCCAACATTTTCTAATGGAAGCAAGAAGAAAAACAAAACAAAAGAAAAAAAATAGAAGAACATAACTTACCTTGTCGTAGAGGTGAAAGAAGCGCAGAGTGAAACTAGGGCAGAGATGAGAAGAAAGCAAGGAGGCGTGCTACTAGTTGTAATGTTATATATATATATATATATATATGAAGAAGAAGAAGAATAGGAGGAGGCGCAGCCGCACAGAGGTGAGAGTGAAATTAGGGCAGAGGATGAGAAGAAAGAGGCGTGGTGCTAGTATGTAATGTTATATTATATATATATATATATATATATATATGAAGAAGAAGAAGAAGAGGCGCAGCCGCGCAGAGGTGAAAGAGGTAAGAGTGAAATTAGGGCAGAGGATGAGAAGAAAGAGGCGTGGTGTATGTAATGTTATATTATATATATATATATTTATTTTTTTTTTCTACGGGTCACTACGGGTTAGTGTCGGGTTTGAACCCGAAATTGACACGAAATTGAATTACGGGTCAATTTCGGGTCATACGGGTCCAACCAGAAATCGACCCATTTTGTTCGTGTCAATTTCGGGTCGACTCGATTCCGACCCGCACCCCATTTTTCTCAACCCTAACCCGTAATTTTCGTGTCGATTTCAATTCGTGTTGTCGTGTCGCGACCCGTATTGCCGCCCTTAAACCTCCCCTCTCCTCGCAAAATAAAATTAAAAAAAAAAAAAAAACAACTCAGATTCGTCCTTGTTTTTTCTTCCGAGTGTTGCTTTTGCTTTGGGCAATGTGAGAACGGCAGGATGTGTAATTTATGCAAAACAAGATACTGTTAATTCAATGAGTTAATTGCAGAGCCTAGCATCTGAAAAAGAGGGTGTATGAGTGAACTCCCCCCCATTTTTTTTTTTTTTGCCAAATTGATCCCTAACATTTTAAAATAAGTGCAATATGATCCTTTCCATCAAGATCCATCCAAAAAATAACTAGAGAAGGTACCTAACCGCCTACGTGACTTATTAAGTTTGGGTATATGTGTAAAAACACATCCTTGGTCAAATTGGAGCTCAAGACGATGCCGACGATGGTGCCGAAGAAGATGGGGAGGGCTGGTGAAGCTCAGGGCCGCCGGTGAGGGCTCTCACTTTGGGATGATGCACCCCTCTCTAACAAACGGCGCTAAACACGTGAATGGAGGGAAAAACGACGTTGAGCAGAGGTGAATGGTGCGAACATCGTCGATGTCGCGTTTGTTATCTTCTTCAAGTCGACTTTCACCTCCACGATCCTGGTCATCGATGTTCGTGATGTGGGCTCAATTTTGGTAGTTTGTTGGGCGAGATTGATTCGAGTTCATCAAAATTCCTGATGTTCTCATTAGTTCGATTGAGAGATTGATGAATCTCTTCAGGAAAGGCATTAACTGTGGACTGTTTGGCTTTGAAATAAAGGGGTGTTGACCTCAATTCCAAAATCGGGCTTGTTTGGTGAGTGTAGATTGGGGTTTGTTCATTATTTTAGCTAGCTTTGTTGGATTCGTGTGTTGATGAGTATGGGTGACTGTAATGATGGTGGTGATGAGAAGAGTTATGGTGGTGCTCGGAAAAGGATGGTGGTGGAGATGGTGAACGGTGGATGTTGGGTTGATGCTGGTTGTTATGGTCTTGGTGACGGTGGCCATAATGCTGGTGGTGGTTTGGTGATGGTGGGTGATGAATTTGTTTTCTTTTTAGACATTTCAGTCATTTTAGTAAAAAAGATGGTCACATGATGGGTCATGTGCCTTCTCCCGTTAGCTTTTGGAAGGATCTTGACGGAAATGACCAGATTATACTTATTTTAAAAGGTTGGGGATCAATTTGACAAAAAAAAAATTAAGAATCAAACTGACACTTACTAAATAGGTTGGTGACCATTTATACTAATAACTAAAAAAAAAAAAACTTAAATTCATCCTTTTTTTTCTTCTTAGTTTTGCATTTATTTTGAGCAAAGTGAGAATGACACGATGTGTAATTTATACAAAATAAAATACAATTAATTTAATCTTAATTGTCTGTATATTAGTCAAAAAAATAACTTTACAACGTGTCAATCACAGCGCTTAACGCCTGAGAAAGAGAGCGTATGAGTGACTCCTTACCCCAAACCCCCTATGTCCAACAAAAAAAAAAAAAACTTAGATTCATCTTTTTTTTTCTCCTCAAAGTTTTGCATTTGTTTTGGGCCAAGTGATAATGGTAGAATGTTTAATTTATGCAAAATAAGAGACTGTTATTTTTTTTCTCAAATAAGAAATTGTTAGGTCTCATTTTTTTTGTGAATTCGAGTTGAGATGTGACATTTTTTGAGAACTTTTTATTGTAGCAGAAAAAATTAGATGTGACATTTTCTGAAAATTTTTTACTGTAAAAATCTAAAACTGAAAACTCGAATCGGTGAAATGAACTATACCTTAATTTAACCTTGATTGTCTTGTCTGTATATTGGTAAAAAAAACAAATTTGCAACGTGTCAATCATAGAGTCTAACGTTTGAAAAAGAGGTATATGAGTCCCATCATTATTAATGCAAATATCAAGTGAAGTACTCGTGGAATAAGTCCTGTCACCGCATTATTATCATTATTATTTTCTATTTGTTTGATTATCTATAACAATGTCAATAATTTCACTGTTCATGTATAGTGTTTCAACAAAAATGGCGTAATTTTGGTTGAAATTCACTAATATTTTCACTGTTCAATTACTGTTTACCTTTTTTTTTTCCTTTTTCCTATTCTCTTTTATCTTTTGCTTTTTTTCCTCAAAATTTTATATTTTTTCGTTATCGCCATCTTTTTAACTTTTTACTTTCATTTATCCAAATTAGTTTTTTCTTTTTAATAATATCACAATAATTAAAATTTAATGTGTACTTGCTACAGTATATTTTTAACTAAAATTACGTATTAATGTGTTTTTTTTTATTTTACTTTAAATTGTTTATTTCTTCATTTTAGTCTTTTTTGTCTTTTTTTTATTTTTGTCTCGAAATTTTATTTTTTCGTCTTGGTTCTTTTTATTTTAAAATTTATTTTTTGCTATCTAAAACTTATTTATTTCTTTATTTTGGTCCTTTTGACTGATTTTTTATTTTTATCTAGAAGCTTTATATTTTTATTTTGATTTATTTTGTCCTGAAACTTATTTATTTCTTCATTTTAACCTTTTTTTTTATTTTTTAGGTTTCTTGCCCAAAAATTTTATTATTTTTTTTCGTTTTAATTTCTCTTTGAGATTTTATTTTCATATATTATATGCTTTAAATAATACTTCGTTAATTAAAATTTAACACACAATTTCCCTCCACGTACAT